TTATCTACACACCAAAAGCGGATGTTCGTTGGTATAATCAAAATGCGGATAAAGGTCAGGTCTTACCTTCAAAATAAAAGCTTTAGCCTTAAAAACATAGGTCACAAAGCAAAGCTTAAAGACTCGTTCAGATAAAATAGTCTTATTTTGAAAATAATAAAACGGAAGTTCCCGGCGTCTGTAAACGTAATGACATCATCGCTGTACGTGGACAGTTTAAAGGTTCAGTTTTAGCTAGCTCACAGACAATTAATTAATTGTGAGTTCAAACAATGGACAAGAATACAACGCGACACAATGTGCAGCTGTATATTTATGATTTATCACGAGGAATGGCTCGTAGCCTCAGTCCCATCATGTTAGGTAGGTTATTCATTGATTTAAATAAATAAATTTAACGGTGCTAACCGGTAGAAAATCTTTTCTCAAACAAAGCGGTTGTTGTGATTAGTAGCCTCCGTTTATTTATTTATTTTAAAATAATCAGTTTATCAAATAAATAATCAAAAATGAATAAAATGACTAGTGAAGGTTAGTACATGTTCAGAAACGGGTTGTCATTGGAGGATAATTGAAGCTCTTAGACCGGCTCGACGTGCAGTTGTTCACTCACTGTTGTTGCTCGTTTTCTTCTCGTTGCAGGTAAACAGCTGGATGGTATCTGGTGAGTCTGAGCATCTATAATGAAGCAGGTCTTACTGTGTTGTTTGCTATTATTTTGATTATTTGTTTATTTGTTTATTTGTCACTAAGTAACAATTTACAGCACCTCATTAATTTATAAAGTTTTTACAAACCGTGTGGGTCAAAATATGTTGAGCGGACTGTACTGTGATCACATGCCAGTGTTTGTGGTGCATGGGTGAGATTATTGGGAAAAGGAGGAGTTGGGCCTGTGATTGGAAGGTCGTCGGTTCAACTCCCCGTACCGACAACATCAAAATGTGGGTGGAAAAGGTGAAGCACCCACACCTGCCTCCACCGTCATTTGCCCCACTCTGGGCCCTTGAGCAAGGCCCTTAACCCCCACCATCTGCTCCCCTGGGTGCCCTGTGCAGCTCTCTGCTCCACACAGAGGGCTGTGGTAGCTCAGTGGTCTGTGGTTGTGTCAGGAAGAACATCTGGAGCAAAAATAATTACCAAGTCTTCATTAGTTTGCTGTGGTGACCCCTGAAGAAGGGAGCAACCAAAAGAAGAAGAAAAAAAAAATCACATTGTTGTTATGCATCTTTTGTATTAATTGTTATTATATGTTTTAAATAAAATAAATAAACGCTTATATATATTTCACCAGGTGACGTGTACAGTAATGACGTAAAGAGGTTGTTAAGTGCAGCATTTTGTGAGTTAGGATAGGAGAGCATTGATATTTGCAGTTTTATTAAGATTTATTGTAAAATGCTTAATTATAGTAATAACTGGGTTATTTATAAAGTTAAATGGCTTATTGTTTTGCACGGAGGCACAGAGTTGTGGTTTTAGATAATACTGATAAAACACAGTTCTCTATTGAATTAACCCCATGCTTTTCTTTCAGGCACACAGCTATTGTGACGTATGGAGATGAATTCTTCTTTGGAGGAGAGGGGATTTCCAGCTGTTCCCCGGTAAGAAAAAAGAAAAAGAAAAACATCACAGAGAATGAATTTGTTTTGTTTGTCAACAAAAACTAGCTTAAGCACCTTAAGCCCTTAGAGTGTTCCTGAAAGGAAGTTCAACAAAGTCTGAGTTTATCCATTAACTGAGTAAACGTAGTTGAGAAACATGATCATGATGTCACAGCTCAGCTGACCTCTTTAGTCTGTGCTAGAGCTTGAATTCATGCAGACTGTTTGTTTTTTATAAATTCATCCTAAAATTTGTGTTCAGAGTCAAATGCTTAAATAAATTAAATAATCCACATTCCACTAATAAAGGCCAATATAAAATGCGTTGATTTTGGAAAAAATATGGTTTCAAGAAGACTGGTCCTAAAAATGAGACCTTCTAAACATAAACAAATTTTAACACTAATCATTTTGCTTATTGAAATTGCGTAAATGAAACAAACAAAATGTATGTTCAGTGACGGCACATTTGATCTAAACACTGTTTACTCTTTTAGTGATACATGCTTGGATTTATGGGCTCGCCGAGTGTAAAGAATTCTACATTTTACTACCTACCACTAGCCAGATGTTTCATATCCATATACATTTTATACAGTTTAATAACCTCACATGCAGTTAGAGAGGACATGGAGGTAGTTGGAGTGAGGACAGAGTGAGATGGAGGAGGATGACTCTGAAGAAGAAACAGCTGAAACAAGAAGAAGAATCTCTAAAACTAATTAATACCAGTTAGTCTTTTTGGTTTATTCAGTTATTGTCGCCATCAGTTATACAGAAAGCCTCTCTTTAAAACTATTAAAAACAGAAGGAAATTCAAGATTTGGGCTTTAAAACCAGGAAAATGGCTTACACTTTCTATCACTAAAGCTCCCGTTAAGGCAGGAGAATTTATTTTACAGGTGAAAGATTCAATTTTGACAAAATATTGAAATTCAAACTGCTTCATTTTTAGGCTCGCAAATAATAAAGAAGACCAAATAATTGTGAATTTTCTGTCATTATTTTGAGTTGATTTGGAGATCTTCTATTCAACAAATCGATTTCTTCAAATTCTTTCAGCGCGATAAACTAACTTTGTCCGGATCAGAGCACCTGTTTGAGGCGTTATATTGAATATGTGAGAACGGAGAATGGGAAATGAGTGACCTTGATGAAAAGTGCTATCGTTCAAACAAACAAAATGCATATCTGGAAAGGAAAATACTCAGACAATATGAAATAATTCTTTGATATCACTCAGATGGATTAAAACTCAACAAGTCCTGTTGGACAGTTTGCTTCAGGTGGGACAGGACCAGAAGCAACTCTGGGTTTCTTTCAATAACGATCTTTTTATTTCCTCTATGGAAGTGTGCTGTTTGTGGGACTCAGTTTGTTTGTTGCTCCTCAGATTGAAGAAGTTCTTTGGATGAAGAACGAAACGTCTCGGCACAAAAATAAACCGTCCAGATGACCTGACTGAACATTGTTGAACTTTATACCAGGATTACTGAGCATGAGCGTTCTTTCAGTAAACTTTACTTTACTTTGCAGAGCCTGTTACCATGGTGATATACTCAGAGTTTCACTAACCTCTCAGTCTGAAAGAAAAAACAAACTCCCTAAACTCAGGGTCATCTCATTCAGTTTTCTCAAAATTTGCTTTCTAGAATACCTGCTTGCACAGAAATGGACATGTTGACACACGCTCCCAGTGATCCCAGTGAAAGTTCATGTTCCTGGTGATGATGAAGAACCTGCGATCTAATGCAACATTATGCCGATGAGCGAGTCATCCCTTTCTTTTTTCCATGTTTCTTTTTTCCTCATTAAAAACCTGCTCTTTGTGTGTTTTTGTCAGGGTGGGACTATGCTGGGCCCCCCAGACACAGTGGTGGAGCTGGGTGAGACTGAAGTCTCCGAGGAGATCTTCATGGATTACCTCTCGTCCCTCGGTGAAAGCACATACAGGTCAGAGAAAAACGTTTCTTTAAATGATGCAAAGTGTCTCAAAGAAGACAGTTAACTGTTCCAGCCCACAGATCCAGAGAAGCTCTTCTCTTTTTGTTTGTTTGCTCAGAGGTGACAGGTATCGTTTGTTTGAGCACAACTGCAACACTTTCACCAATGAGGTGGCTCAGTTCCTGACTGGCAGGTCTATACCCTCCTACATCACAGACCTTCCATCTGAAGTCCTCTCCACGTGAGTCTCATCTTCAGTACAAACTCGTTAGAGCTCAACACCACACAAAGGCCTTATTGGAATCAGAACTTGTCGATTGCACATCTTAAAAGAAGATGCACAAATGTGAGCGTCTGAAACAAGATGAGAGTCCCAGGAGTTTTGCTTCCACTGTGCCCTAGTTACTCTCACTGAGCTGTTTTGAAATGTCTCTTTGAGTTCTGTTAGTCACAAGGCCAAACACAAGTTTTACCACGGATTCAGAGCGGCTTTTCTGCATTCAAGTGAACAAGCTGCCCCCAGCTGCAAAAATCACACCGCTCAAATTTCACATGCAGACTTGAAAACTGTTCGGAAGAATTGTAAAATATAAGGAACACACTGTGAAATGCTTAAAACTAGCAAAAACTATTCAGTCGTCCAGCATCTCACTGAGCAGAAAAAGGGCATCACAGTCTCGCCATGTCTTTTTGATGTAATGAATAAAACATTATTTAAGAAATGCACATCATTAAAACCTGTCTACTGGTTCATAAGATATTTATCCAACATGATAAACAAACACGGGCAAAAACATCCTCGCTGTTTTGGTGGCAGGCAGAAAGTCACACAGCTATTTCTTTTTAAGTTAGAATGACTGACGAGACTCGGAAAGTTGGTGATAAACAAGCGTTGCTGCTCAAAGTTTTGTTACAGAGCATTTTAAAAGGAGCTCCAAATACTTGTGCATGTTGGCCTCTGTTCCACTAAAAATTGTTGTTAGTGACACGTGAAAACACCTAATTACTTTAAATATATATATATATATATGTTTCTTACATTTTTTAGCTAAAAATGTCACCTTTTGTTTATGGGAATAATGCATTCTGGGGCGATGACATACAGAGTGTAGGTTGTAATGAAAACCAAAACACAAGGAGTCAAGGCTAAAAAAGTTATTAAATTCAATTAAATTCAGTTCAAAAATACTTTATTAATCCTAAAGGGAAATTAAGTGTTGTCGTAGCTCATCCTGCTAGTTTCATTCAAGAGTTGTTATGGATGCTGATAGCTGTGTCCTGTAGTGAATCCGAAGAATCTGGCCACAGATACTGATCCGTCCACCCAGATCCAGCTTGCTGTCAGGTCTGGCGGGCCTCTCGGTATTCCTGGGCAGCATGTTCGCCCGAAAGCCGGACAGAATTCCTCCCTGAGCGATGGTCACTCCATCCAGCAGTCTGCTGAGCTCCTCGTCACCACTGACAGACAACTGAATGTGCTGGGGGATGATCCCGGTCCTCCCGTTGTCACGAGCCGAGTTTCCCACCAGCTCCAGGATCTCGGCGGTCAGGTACTCAAGCACCGCTGCCAGGTGGACGGGAATTCGTCCATGGAGCCTCGTTTTCAACTCATTTGAGATTTGGGGCTGGAGCTGAGGAATTTGAGCTTTTGAGATGTTAATCAGCTGCTCTTGGTTGTTAAAAAAACACCTTGTTGCCATGGTTACACATAATAACAAATGCCCAAAAGTGAAACGGTTTCAGTAAAAATCCTTCCAGCTGCACAGCATCAGAGTAAATCATCTGGAAAAAGTGATTTACATCCAGAAAAAAGAGGAATAAAAGTTTTCAAACGCAATAACTCAGAATGAATGTAACAGGGCTACTCCAACATGCAGCCACACCGAGCGGCGCAATTCTAGAACAATGTTCTAGAATTCTAGAACGATAATCTATGACAAGGTATATATTTTTTATTAATCCTTACGTCATTATGCATGATATACAAGTCGAAATGATCAAATGACAACCTGCGATGTTTGCTATATTAGCTCTGGAGCTAACGTGAAAGCCAAAATGCTAAAGCTGAGGCACAACCCTCATGAACCTCTGCCATTCGTCCTTCACCTGTGGAGCAGCACCTAACAGCTGCCACCTGTGCGCCCTCCCAGTGGATAATGTATGGTTGTGGGCTAAGTGTTGTTGTGTAATGCTCTGTAATTGAGGTGGAACGAAGTTTGGCTTTACATCAGCTCCAGCACCCCCGTGACCAAATCAGGACAAGCAGCAGGTAATGAAAAGATGGATGTGTGAAATGACCAAAAATACATTTAATCTGTATTATTATATAATGCGTAACACACCATTCTAATATATAAGGGAATGTTTTGATCCCGACGCTTGTCATGAACAGCTTGTGATACAAAGCGGAGCTCTTTACAGCAGAAGCTCTTTCATAAGCTGCACAAACGCCAGCTCTTCTGCGCGACTTTCTCGTCATCCGTTCCATTTTCATCATTTTTCATCATTTCTTAATTCTCCTCTCTGGCAACACGCTCCGGTTCAAATTAAAGGGCTGAACGTCAGACATTGTGCAAAATTAATGTTTAAGATGTATGGATCTTGCATCAGAGCAACCCATCTATGTCATTTACCCAGAATGCATTGCAGTGTTAACATGGTTAACTTCATTGCACAGACTGCAAAATGTCTGTGCATCGCAGTGTAACCAACATGGTGATGTCTGTGTGACATTAATAAAAATTAAAAAAAGTATAAAATATAAACAGCGTGCAGTTTTTATGGTTGTGTTTTCATAGCTGAAGTGTCTATCAAATAAGATGATTATTCCAACTAATTGGAGATCTTGTTAAGGTTTGCAGTGATTTTCTAAAAAAAAAAAAAACAGCAGTGCACAAAAGGAGGCTAAATGTGGATTATGGTAAATTACATACTAAATAAATGATTGTTTACTCAAACATATTCACCAAAGTCACACTGAAGGAACACTTCCATGTTACAAGGCAGAAGCTCATGGATACTGTACTTTTTTGTGAATGGAATTGCAGAAGGTAAAGGTGCAATCACTGATTTTAAATTCTACCTAAAACATCAAATCTCTTTGCTCCTTCTCCAGACCGTTCGGCCAAATTCTGCGGCCTATTCTTGACTCTATCCACATTGCCCCTCCGGGAGGTAACGTCATCAACGGAGGAAGAAACATCTAAGCAGCACGAATGGTTGGATGCTCTCCAGGTCATTTTCACTGTAGTCAGTCAGCAGGAAGTCCATTCATTTCCTCCTTTTTGTCTCTGTCTTTCTGCAAATATAAAGCTGAATGAAATGGAATAGGCTCTAACTTCACAGAGAAATAAATTTCCATCTCCTGAGATGCACCACCTAAAGGTTTTAAAGAACATAATTCAATTCAGTTCAGTTTATTTATACAGCGCCAAGTCACAGCAGAAGTCATCTCAGGGCACTGAACAGAAATATTCATATTTAAAAATAATAATTTAACACTATTTATCTGAGGAGCAGACTGCTTTGAATTTAACTCCATCACAGACTCTCATCTTGAGCAAACATGAAGGCGACAGTGGAAAGGAAAAACTCCCTCATGAGGAAGAAACCTTTAGCAGAACCAGGCTCAGGACAAGCGGCCATCTGCTTCGACCAACTGGGTTTGAGAGGAACAGGAAGGAGGAACAGATACACAATGGCAGGTCAAGAATCACGTTAGGATAGAAATAATATCAAATGAAAACTATTCAATTTTAACAAATGATTTAAGGAAATGAGGTATATTTGTCCTCTAGTAGTCCAAGTTTGACAGCATAACAAGCCAACCCTAACTATAGGATTTATCAAAAATTAAAGTCTTAATCCCAGTCTTAAAACTGGATAATGTGTCAGCCTCATGGACAGAAACTGGAAGTTGGTTCCACAAGAGAGGAGCCTGATAACGGAAAGATCTTCCTCCCATTCTGCTTTTTGAAACTCTAGGAACCACGAGTAAGCCTGCAGTCTGAGAGCGAAGTGCTCTGTTAGGAAAATATGGAACAATAAGATCTTGAATATAAGATGGAGCTAGGTTGTTGAGGGCTTTGTAGTTTAGAAGTAAGATTTTGAATTGAATTCAAAACATATTTAATTGTCTAACAATCATGCAAGAGCAGTGCGTGTGCATCATTTGTAGTACTCGTGCACCGATGCACCAAAGCTCCTTTAATCAGAGTATGTAGAGAGTAGATTCTGACATGGCCCCAGATAAATCATCATACAGTATCTGACTGCACGGCTGCTGACTGCAGTGATCTGACTGCTCACCGTGGTGTGGAAATGTTCAGCACAAATCATTTTGAATGGACGTCCAAGAAAAGGGACGTCTCATTAATGGTCAGTGCTTTCAGTGTCAATCATTTTTGTTTACTTATATATTTTGTAGCTTGTTTTTGTCCCGTCAACAATTCTTTCCTATCTGTAAGTTTTCTGTCGTTGTTACCGCCTGAGGGTATAATTTTGTTTTTCAGTGTCTGACATACAGCAGGTGACGGGGGAGTACAGGACTGGGAAGAGTTCATTTCAAAGTTTCAGTCTGCGCCAGCTGGCCCTGTTTGTTAGTAGTAGAGGAGTCAAACGAAGAATGAGATTAGCAGTTTTATGTAGATATCTGTCCACTTGGTCTATTTTCTGAAACCGGACAAAAACCTTGTGGCGCTCAAGCTATTTCTGAACGCATTTGAACAGATATTGTGTTTGTTTTTGGCTTTAAATCATAGTTACCTGCTCTTCAGTTCTGCTAGCTAAGAAAAAAAACAGGTTTATTTCTATTTAAACTTTGTGTTTCCAATGCTACGTGTTCATTAATGTTAGCGCGTCCGTAAGCAGAGCGCTGCCGCTCAACAACAACAACCCGCTTGAGTCCTTTAACAGCCACCAGAGTGTGTTTGAAATAAATCACACTTCTGTGCCTTCATGTCTCTCTGCTTGATGATAGATTAGCATCAACACAGTGTTGCTGTCATTTAATATAATTATCAAACGGCACCTGTATAAATAAAGGTTGAAGGAATAAGGTGGCGTTTGTGATAAGGGCATGGAGGTCAACAAATGGGATCAAAACAAAAGTAAGCTTCCAGCCTTGTTAAAACAAAGTACAAATCAAACATGCAGTATTTATTGCCTTTTTAGAGATTATATGAATAAGCCACACTGAAGCTAGCAAGTTGTTTTTCACATGATGAGATGCTATTTCTGACTAAACCAGCAGTACAACATTTTTCAGTCCGGTCATCTGGACAGTTTCTTTTTTTTTAAACCAGCAATAGCTCAGATTGTTTTCTGCAATAAATAAAGCCGACACCCTCTGTAGGTTTCCAAACAGACCATAAAGGGACAGGATGACTCCAGATCAGTGTTTTATCTCTTTACATTCAGCTGCACATTCTTCCTTTTTGAGATTTGTTCTCCTCAGACCAAGAACGCTCAGAAGAATCTGATTATTTCTACCAGCCAACTAACCGATGCTAACGCGACTGCTGAAATGTACAACTCACCCTTTGTTGCTCTGATGGATGTTGTTGCTTGCTGCTAGTTGTAATGTGAAATCAAAACAGATATTTATAGATATTATTTATCAATAAAATTAATATAAATATGATAGATGTACTTCTGCACTTTGAATTGTTTGTGTATTGCTTTTGTTGTTATCAATGTTTTTCTCCTTTGTTTCCAAAGCCTACCTACAAATAAAATCCATCACAAATTTGATAATTTCCTGTGTTGTTTCTGATCTCGAAAACAAAACGCTTGAGTTTTTGAACAAATTAGACAACAAAGGTATTTTAAAACAATAGCTCCCATCAATGAAAACTGATTTCTGTGGGAAAGATATGAACAGCTAATATCTTACCTGTTATAGATAGCACTTCAAATACAGCTCGTCTCAGGAGACCAGCTGCTTTAAAATCATTTGTTTGTGTTATGTGACACAAACTTTGATTTTACTCTCTGGTACTTCCTTGTGCAGCAACATCTGCATCGTCATTTCTGCTCATCATCTCAGAAGGATTTTTAGAACAGTTTCTGAGAGAAAAGCTGTTTGGGTATTTTAATCAGAAATTTTATTCTTGTTACGGTCAATCAGGGATTTGTTCTGTCATGTGAGAGGCTCAGTTCTCTTCCGCATACTTTACAGCCCAAAAGTTCTGCAACAAGCACTTCTCCTCTTCAAAATAATGACTCAACTGGTGCAAAAAAGACTGGTTCTTATGGTGGCCCTGAAGTTTAAACCACAATTACAAATAAACAAAAACACAACTACAAATAAACAAAACACAACTACAAATAAACAAAAC